GACAGAATAACAAGAGAAATGAGCGGTAACTAACCAATGGATTAGCGCCCACCAATCAGCGTTGGGCTTGCATAAGGTAATGATGAAAGCCCAATGCTGATTGGTGGGTGCTATATAACGACTATAGATAGAGTACTCTGGACCAATGGCTTAATACATTCTGAAGCAAAAACTAAATAATATTTGATAGTACGTTCAATTAGTAAAAATAAAGTTTCTTGATCTCGCCATGTTACGGAATAATCAGATTATGCACATATCAGATTGTGGCGTCTCGCGGTTAGGGTTTTACTTGGATTGAAGTTCCGATATCATTAAAACATATTACATTTCTGTTTGGCAGTCGGTTAAGAACTGAATAGTCCCTAATTAAATTATAAAATATTCCTAAGTTACAGTTAGGTTAAATATAATAATTAAAAATGATCTCTTGCTGTTGATTGAACATACCTACCACTAGTAGTCTGCCTACCCCCGATTTTCAAACCATGACAACTTTTTTATTAGCTTTACTATTAACGTTATTTTACTCAAAAAATATACCTATATGAAGTTTATTTTGATTATTATGTTTTTTTACAAATTTTGGCAAGATACCGATATATATACTCTTATCTTACCAATATTCGTAAAAAAAACATAATAATCAAAATAAAATTGACATATTTTTTTAAGCTGCTAGATGTTTAAATCTATAGTAAATTTTACTAGAAAAAATGCCTTCTAGCCTAAGAAATGCTAGAGAAAATTCGAAACGGCCATCATGGCCGCGGTAGCATAATGGTTAGTGCATTCGCCCGGATATGGAAGGGCGTGCCTTAAGTCCCGTCTGCTGCTGGATTTTTTCTAGTAAAATTCTCTTTAAAATAAATTTGACTGATATTTTTCATCTGAAGATTTCTTCTATTACTTTTTTCTTTCTATAGTACGTGAAATCTTTTATCATAACTAGGGAGGCGAGGCGTAAAGAGGTAGATAAATAAACGAACCCCGAGAAGGAGGCCGGCTGCGGACGCGAGCATCACAGTAGAAAGAGTGGTAGTGCCGCTAAGGCGCCAGTTATCTTCACGTCTGGACTTCACCCTCACTTAACATCAGGTGGGGTGGAGTCATTTGTCGGACCTATCTTTAAAAACCTTAAGCACATCGGGCTACTGCTGGACGAGCGCTGGAATTTCAGAGAGCACTTCCAGCAGCAGTCCTCGAGGCTGGTGGGCGCTGCAGTAGCGCTGGGGAGACTCCTGCCGAACGTCGGCAGCCCAACAGCGCCCCGTTGTGGGCATCTGCTCTTGGGGGAGCGGAATAAGGAACTCTTGAGAAGACCGCAACGAGTGGCGGCCATCAAAGCGGTAATAAACCGGCTCTTGGACAGCTGCCTGCGCCCTGGTCAGTATGCCTCCGTGGGAACTCAATGCTTGAGTTTTCGCGGAGGCGTTGGCGATGGCACGCGGGGAAAGATCCGTCGTTAGGCAGAGGAGGACCTGACGGGTAGATGGCAGCTGATGCTGTAGTCTCCCACATACGGACTCCGAGCCCTAGAGGCACTGTGCCTCAGGTACTGGGCGTCCCGCAAGTTGGGGTCGCTGACCTTCCGTTTGGTGCAGGTTCTTACCGGGCATGGATGCTTCGGTACCTGCACCGGATTCGGAGGGAGGCGACCCCGTCGTGTCATGAGTACGGCGCTGTGGTGGTCACGGCGTAGCGCACCTTGAAGGAGTGCCCGTCGTGGGCGCAGCAGCGCAGCACTCTGACGCTGGGGAGCGAGCTCAGCGTGGGCCAGGCTATGCTGGGAAGCGACAGATCATGGCAGGTGGTGGTCTCCGTCTGTGAGGAGGTCATCTCACGGAAGGAGGCGGCAGAGAGAGTTCGTGAGGAACAAGCCCACGCGAGCTCTCTTCGACGCAGGAGGGGGAGGATTGGTCGACGGAGCCAAGCCCTCTAGCGGTACCTTCTGTGACTGCCAGGGAAGGTGTGCTCCGCGGCATCGTCGCGATGGGGTAGGAAGCCAGGCGTGACAAGCAGCGACTCAGAACTGGATCCCGCAGTTACGCCTGGAGAGTGAAGGGTATATCGGGGAGTTGGTTTACCGGGTAGGTACGGGATGTAAATAAACGAACAATAAATATTTACAACACAATTATAATGTCATACTCCCAAAACAAATCAGTCAAAATTATAAAATAAGGATAGCTTCGCAACAAGTTTAGAAAGTATTACATGCCAGGTAACTTTTAATCTGTTTTGCTTGTTTTGTTAAATATATTCTGTTTTTTTTTTACTGTACAGTCGGGAACACAAGTTACCAACTACATTTTGTATCTGAATGAATTTCCAATTCAGTTGAAGAAAAACGGTTTCGAATGCGTTTCATACGATTATTCATATTTAATAATTTATTATTTTAATGAACGTAGTAGTTGAAAAAAAACATCCACATTTCCACTACACCGAATAAAAAAGCTCCCGGAAGTACTTACCTGTTGAACTTTTCAAATAACTATTGTTCATACAAATTGTCAACAAAACTGATACCAAAAACTGTCCAAGTTGATTAACTGATCATTTCATAGAATTATATAACATAAATATTAATTGTTCCTTAAATAAAGGTTAACAAGGAATATTGTTTTAAATATTGAAATTTAATTCGTAACACTATATTAAATATTTGTAAAGGAACTTGCATATTTACTACCTTTTATGCATGTTTTTAAATGGAGTAGCCAACTTACTATTCGACACCCAACCAACATTAATAACGCTTTCGCAACATTAATAAAATCTTTAAAAATAAGCAATAAAAGATAGGTAAACCATAAAATAACTTAAATGATTCCTGTGTGTTTCAAATATTTGAATAATAATTGAACACGATTTACAAAACCTTAATTTTATAGTATTAATCATTGCTTATTTTTAAAAATTCAAAAACATTCATTGGATAGAAAAATGCCCACCTGCTTATGATTTCGTTTCAAAAGTTCGTTACACAATTTAAGTCATGTCGCGTTACAGCTCAAAACATTACACGATTATGCCGGCACTTCATTTGCTTATTAGCGTTTACCATTTGTAAACTTGACACTTGATCAGTCTATCCTTTTCATTCCTTATATAACAACAGACTGTTATCAAGTTCAAAAATACTAATAGCCAAGTAAAGTGCCGGCATTAAAACAGTAGGTATAATGCGCGGCACGAAACTCTAGCGCTGACCGTTATTGCGCAGAAGTAAAAATTAAGATGTGTTGGGGGGAAACGGGGTGTGCGTGCGTTGCGCCGATTGGCTCTCCAGTCGTACCCATGGGCAGCTATCCCCTCCGCGTTTTGTTCAGCGCTAGAGTTACGTGCCGCAACCTATATCTAGGGTAGGGTATCGAGCAGTATTTTTAAGTAGCAAATATGCATAGTGAATTTGAGTGATTGAAGAGAACTTAATTGATAAATTTACAAAAATCTTTATTTCCTGTGTTATAATTTATAATATAACGATTTGTGAAAATATTTCTTACGCGTGTCAAGCGAGTGGCAAGAAACCATTTTCGTGAAGCAGTGATAAGTATTAAATTATTCAAAAGAGATGTATGAAAGTTCGAAGAATTTTATGTTTATCAAAGACAAATGTTTGTGTGTGTTTTTTATCTAAACACGTTCACAAATCGCTATAACATTAATATCCTTACCAACTTTACTATCAAAAAATTAACCCAACTCTTATAAAAAAGCGTCAACTATCTATTGAATGTATCGTAATTATTAATGATATATTGTGCCTTATTTTATGCGTGAATCTTAACAGTTATTGTAATACTGGTGTTTTTGCTTACATGTAAATTAAAGTATACTTTGAAAATAATTTAAACAGCCGCATTCAGAAACGTCATATTAATTAAATCCTTCATTAAGTCTCGTATTGATTCATACTATTGCTATCGCAAAGAAAATGACAGCATCTCATCTTTATTGAAACTTTAAGGTTAATTTAATCAAAGACTTTATATTAATTGACTTCTCTGAGTGCATGTGTAAATAACGGAATAACCTAAAATCCCCTATTACTTTTATCTTTAATTAACTATGATGATTTATTTGTAATAAAATGGACCGCGTTATGCAGAAATTGTTCAAGACACAATATTAAGTAAAATTAATACTAAAAAAATCCACATACCGGTAAATACTCTAACATTCTGTGAATTCAAGTTACAATAACTTACGCAGGTATTAAATTGTACATCTGTAGAGCTGTTCCCAATAATAATTTACTTTGATTATGTTTGGTTGCATAACGAGGTCCAAATAATATTATCCAAAGGTAAATATTTTTTTTAATGTATTTTGCTAACTATTTGGTCTCAAACAATGAGCTATTACAGTTCACATATGATATGATAAAATGTTTGACAAAATTTCATAATTACTGATAGAACGTATTTTGTTACAGAGAAATTCCTTAAATTATATTTAATAACATATTTTTTATAAAAATTGTTATGATATACAGATGAATTCTAGTCTAGCTTATCGTGGATATAAAATAGTGCATACCATGGCATCATTGTGCTTATGAAGGCATTTTTTATATCATGGAACATCGAGACAAAATTATTGTCAAACTTCTTTTTTTATGTTTATTCTCAGCCCTATTAAAATAAAACAATTAAATAATTAACAGCACGGCTATATAGGTTTCGCAATCTGTTAATCTGTTTAATAAAGGTATAAACGGCCGATCGATTTAACAATTAAACTTAAATTAAGTAAGTAATGGTGTCTATTCTAGCAGGACTATCTAAACTTAAAACTAAATTTAACATTAGTCTTTGATTGTCATTCTGTATAGAGAATGACAAGGATACATTGCTGTCAAATTTAAGTTTAGGTTTAGAGGATCATGTCAGAATCGACACCAGTGAACATCAAAACTAAAATATAAAAATGACCAGCATTTTCAGATTATACATTTTCAAAACTAAATGGTAGATAATAATGTCGTTCTGAACTTCCCATAATTCAACTGAAATGTGAAATGAATAACAGTGTTGATAAAAAACGTACCTATTTTTAATGAGAAAGAAATGGCATTACTATAACATATTAATTTATATACTTAATAAATGTCGATTATGGCAAGATTCTCTAACCCTAAACTTAAATTTGACAACAGTGTATCCTTGTCATTCTCTGCACAGAATGAAAAGGAGAGACTGATGTTAAATTTAGTTTTAAGTTTAAAGAATCATATTCGAAGGTATAATGAAGGAAACCCAACGGCAAAAAAAAAATATATGATTAACCAAATAGCGGGAAGTAGCATGTTGGCTCATTGACCTTTCCCTTTTTTCTTATTTAAGAAAGTACAGCACATCACTTTTTAGCTTCACCTCACAACTAACGAGAAAGTATTAAGTAGTATCGTCATATCAAAGTTTCTATAGAGAAAGCTACTTTGTTCTTAAGTCCGGTAGGGGGCGCTCCTTAGTTTCCATTGAAACTTTAAGTTGAGTTTAGTTTTCGAGTACAGTTTGTTATTTTATCAGATTTCAGTTGTCACATCAGAATAGGGAATATTAGGGATATGCATACAAAAACAACTAAATAAAAATGTATAAAAAATCATGCATGTTCCCTAATAAAGATGTTGTCGTAGCTATATATATACTATTTCATATCATGTTATTTTTTGTTTCGATTCATGTAATCTCTAAGCCTAAGTCCACACTATAGATGCCAAACTTGGTGGCCAACTGCAATATTAAACAATATGTATGTTCGCTTCGCTACGATACGTCACTAAGCGAATAGCTCGGCTCTTGGCCTAATATGCAGTTCATTCGTATTATCCTGGCTGTTCACATGGCTTCGTGTTTGCTATTTGTAAACTTGACAACAATCTCTCATTTGTACTCCCTTTAGAGTAGGTATGATAAGGACAAGCTGCTGTCAAAATAACAAATACCAAATACGAATAGCCATGTAAAGTGGCCGCAATAGTACCCATAACTTGTATTTGTGGTTTATTTCCAGGAACCATTGAAAACCAAAATGGAAAAATTAGCTCTACTGGTCACGACACAAAAAAAAATTCTACCATAAACATAAACCTAATTTTCTTGATATCGGTACATTACAACGACATCGTCACACAGCTCATTTATATCAAAATGGCACTAATTAAAAAATATAAATTCTCTTATATTAAGTACGTCTATACTTTGCACACACCCATATGAATATATTATATAATACTATTGATACACTCACGAAGAAAATAACTTTATGTAAAAAGTTACATGGCAACATGGTTATATGGGAAAAATAACTTAGGTACACTCTAATTATATATTTCGTATAACATACTTGTACCTCTGCCTAGAAGCACTAAATACCCATTTATATTATATTTGTTTCTAAGGGAGGAAGCTTATCATACAAGGAAATGAATACGTACGTATACGTAATTGTGTCTCTTATTAAAATTGTACTTCAAAGCTCTTTAAAGCATTGTGTGTAAAGGCCATCATCCAGCGAAGTGAAGATGATAATGCGTTATAATTCATTATGTTATAGCTAAAATTTTGAATATTTTTACGCGATACTTATGAAAGTCACGTCTTCCTGTCAAGTTTTCACAGTTGTAAATTGTTTGACATTCATTTATTTTGCATAATCCGCTGAGCTTGACTATTATGTAACGCATATTATTATAATTATGAACCCTAAACTTTTTTACTTTACATTCTATCCATGTCAACCTCTGCGTGGCAATTGAATCGAATAAAACTTGTTTCGCGTTACAATTTCTATTAAACTTTCGCATAACTTTAACATATTTTGGGATAAGTACTAAACATAATAAGTTAACTCAGTATTATAATCCGTTATTTCTTAACTTTTATGTATAACGGTTAGAAATGTGCAATAAATACTTTTTCCTTTTATAACGATATAATAAATTGTATGTCATAATAAGTTTATGCGAAACAATAGTGAACCAATAGAAACATAGCGCGGTTTTCCATCACCATCTCCTCCAATGGATGCTTTCCTTGTGAATAATGTACCCGTTTTCGATAAATATAGCTAAGCTCTATATTATATTAATATATAATTTATATACAGTTTTAATCTAGATAAGTTAAAATAAAATGCCATCAAGAGAATGGTTATAATTATAACACTGAAATACCTATACATATTTATTTTTGTTCAACTGACACTGATAAATATAATACACAAGCTCTGTAATGATAAAGGCGGAGGTAAAATTGCGTTCAATAGTATACGAATATGTTTGTACTTATATTAAAATATTTTAATTGTGACAAAGACAGAATTGATCGCAAGTACTTTTGAACGCGATTGTACGTTTTTTTTTCTCATACTTGATCTATTTAGTAAACAATTTTTACAAATATTTTTTAACAAATGTTGTAAGCACCATAATAATACAAAGCACATATTTAACTGCGTTTTAAAGGTTATTATTTTCCTTTTCTTGAGATTCTTGAGTCTTTCGACATTACAAATTTTCAGGCCTCTTGAAACTAACCAAAAAGTCATGATGAATGAAAATAAAGGATTTCATATGAAAAATGTCATATTTTAAAAATAAAGAAGCGTTATGTTCATTTGTTTACTAAAAAGTTCAAGTAAGAAGACGCTAGGTATCTACTTTTTTTAAAATAATAACTACAAAATGATTGTTATGTTGTACCAAACAGATTACTGCTTAACACTGAAAGCTAAATTCACTTAGTATACTCAATATTTGAAGCTGCTCAACATTAAGTAGAGAATCTAAGGTGAACAACACGGCGCGGCGGCGGGATGTTTATTTGTATAGGCATATCATATACCTAGGTATGACAACGCACTGGCATCGGCGTAACGCTTAATACAAAATAAAATCCGCGCGACCGCCATCCGTCTCAAGCACATGTTTTGCCCTAAACAATCAACATTCAACAAAATCCCTACACGTGTATGTTTGCATCAACAATGTTTTTGCTTTCTGAGCCCGATGGAAAATAAGTACACAAAACACTCCCGCGCGTTGATCTTGATCAATAGATCGACTTTTTTTATTTTGTGCGTGGTGCGGATGCTACACAAGCCCACAGTGCTTACTTTGGGGCTAGGCTAATTGGTGTGAGTGTTGGTTTTTTGATGTTTAACATCTTTCCCCTCGCTTTCCTGCAATTTGTGGGAGTGATTTCGTGAAATGGGACGGAAGTTTGTAACAAGAAGTCGCGAAAGCGCGCGCTGTTTAGTTTGATTTAAGAACAATGTTCAAATGGCTTATTCCTTCTGTAGTAGGTTTTATTTCTTTTTTTACAAATATAAGGTGAGGTTTCAAATGTTACACTTCATACGCGAGTACTGTAAGGCTCGCTCGTTTTTTGTTTTGCCAACTCGTTAGCGGCGCCGGCAGCTGCGTTCTAAACCTACGCTCAGAGTGCCACTTATCACTCTGACGTTTCAATTATGACATAAAATTGAATGAAACGCGGGAAAATGAAAAATTATCAAATTCGACATACGTTGCACAGGGATCGTAGGTTTGGAATGCATCTATGTGTATTTTGTATACGACAAACACGAGAACTGTAGACGGCGTGTGTAGAGAAATATGTTTCAGAAAAAGTGTTTTTGTTGAATGTTAACAAAAGGTTTTGCTGGAGACTTGGCTTTAAACACAGTCTACGACTTAATTAAGATATACTTCTTTTGGCACGTTAGTAGTAAATGATCTTCCTGAAACTCCCTTATGGCAGGATAATTATTTCCTAGTAAAACAGTGTCGCCAGATGGCGCTAAGTTTAAATAAGAAATAAGTTTTAACACAAATTCGTAAGTACAAAAACTCATTTTTCCTTAATATTTATTTGTAGGTAGGTAATAGGGTAATAGTTATTAGAAATTCATTTAACCCATAGGCCAACTGTATGTCCAAAAATCCTTCATTGTTTTCATGTAACCGTACTTAAAGTTAAGCAGCTGTCGTAAATTTCATTGATCTCACTAATAAATAGAATGATTTTGTAAAGAACAACATTTAACTCGTCTGTATAAATAAAAATTATTAAAACTTACATGTTTCACACAAAAATATGACCAACATTTAAAAACCAATAATTGATCAAGATTTTCGAAAAGAAAAAAGAAGTAAAATGTCAAAACGTCACCTCGCATTTTTCTTTGTTCCTGTATTCCGCTAATATTCCCGGTTCGTTTCGTTCTTTACCAAACTTCACACTTGTGCTTAGGATTCATCTTGGAGCCGATTTTACAGCCGAATTCCTCGGAAAACTCTTTTAGGTTGGATATGGGCCCCACCACTCTGTACTTGGCGATTGTGTGGTCGTCTTTTTCTATCTGCATTTTAGTCGATTCTTTGGTCATCGCTGAGCACCAAACCTTTTAAACAAAAAAAAACGGACATGTCCTGTTCATATGCGATAGAAGTGAAACCTACAAAAATGTTAACACGTAAACGACCTTCATGACTGGGTACGTCTTAAAGATAACACCTGTGTTAAAATTCAACTCTCTAGGTTTAAACTCAATATTTTATACTACATACTTCTTTTTTTTTCGAAAAATGAATAATAGCTTAATAGAAGGAAAAAATGAAAATTTAAGTAAAATACTGGGGAAATTTCAATATTCAACACTTACATTTTTTAATTTAATCAAAAATTAAGGTTTTTTTTTTAATTTTATTTAAAAAAAAACATTTTAAAAATTACCCAGTTCAGGGTCGAACCACCGATCACTTTGTGTCGACCCCAAGACCGTTCCCGCTCGGCTATTATAGTAATTGATAAAATTACGGATACCTATCTTGTGTTAATTACTCTACTTCCGTTTCATCGAATCTCAAATCACAACGGTGCTAAAGAAGTTTTCGCTTCAAAAATATTTTCAAACAACGTTCATTGCCGTTTTTGAAAACCTCTGTGGTGGACTGGTATGAACATTTTTTCAACAAAATTGTGGCGGTAACATCTACATGCCCCAAATATAACCAACGGATGGAGGAAATAATCACCCGCCCTTTTAGGAGATGGCGCTACCGGCGCGCTGCTCTCAATAAGTATGGAAACCTGCATCACGCAAGATAAATTCAGAAGCAAAAACTTAATATGTAAACTGCCCGACCATTGACCAACTTCAATTAACCCGCGGCCCCCGAGCTATCATCAAGCAGCTCGGAGAAAGGTCTTCCCCCTTTAGCCTTCTAAAAAATTGTGAACCGTCTGTCCAGTGTTTATAACTCAAAGTGGTCTGCATAATTTTGACAGTTTTAGTAACATTGTCCTGTGGCTCTTTAAACAGATTCTATCCCTCACCTGAGCGAAGGATATGAAGAACAGCTGCCTGTGGTTGTAATTGAGGCCGGGTAGGGTGAAATTAACGCGCGCCATCTTGCTGTAGTCTACGTAGGCGTGAAAAGATGCCTTCAAACCACCGTTGTCTGCTATATTTTCACCTGTGACGGTAATAAAGTTGTTAATAAATATTTATTACTTATGTTTTCACACACACCACTTATTGAATAATCTACTTTTGTGACGGATTTAAATAAGAACGGAAACGTAGAGTTCTGAAAAAAGTATTAAAAACGCATTCACACCCGTTCAAAAGTAGTTTTATTTATTGTTATTATAATTTCGAAATTATTGGTATTGTCACAAACGCTCTCGAAACAAAACCGTGAAAATACTGTGAACAAATTTTATGCAGTGCGGCGTTAGGAAGAAAGTGCAATGACATCTGCACTTGTTTACAACTTTTGCGCGTTACCTACGTACAAGTAGGTACTACGCACTCGCAGGTACTAGTTAACTCTCAATTTAACGGGACTTTTTTAGAATGCGTCGATTGGCGTATTTAAGCGCGATCGGCGCCGCGCAGCGGACAGTTTAGTTTCTATCGATATTAGTTGAGGTTCAACAGTGATTTCAGAACGAATACAAAAGCGATCAAAGTGCTAGTGTTCAAGTGCGATTGTTTAAAGACTTGTATAATGAAATACAGTATTAAGTCAGTGTATTCTGTTTAACATTGTGTGTTAACTGTGTGGTGAATAAAGAACTGTCAAGCGTGAACTGGTATATAATTTTGAACCCCGACACGTAACATTATTATTATACTTGTAATAGCAAATTTTATCTGTCGTGTGAGACGAATTATGACGTTCTTAATGTTTCGAGTGGAGCAAGGGCTGGTTCATGCGTCATGCTCGTGAACGGTTGCTGTTAGTGGAAATATGTGTGGAGTAGCTACTCCAATAACTTATTTATTGATTTAATAATATAGTGTTCTTTGTATAATAACGGTTACACCCGTATTGACAAAAGATTGACTTTGACACCTTATCAATATAGTTAAACGCAGGGCCGGATTTAAGTGGCCCCCACAATTGATATTAACCAACGAATGTGGGGGCGGCAAATCGTAAGTGGCCTGGCATAGATTTAGGGGCCCCCCTCGCTGCCTCGGGGTCCCTGCAACCTAAATCCGAGTTTGTTTGGAGTTATTTTCGCTAGCTCTTTTCCGCTGTTAAAAGAATACTTTAGTGGTAGGAAAAATAATGGACTACTCAAAAGAACTGTTAACATGTTTTGGATGGCAATGCATGGTTAGTTTAGTGACGTCATTCTAAATTCACTATAGTTGACGGCTCAAGATGGTGCAATGGTGGATTATCAATGCACTATTAGGGTATCAAATAAAAAAGTTTGCTGAGAAGAAAACAAAAAATTAAATATGTTGTTAAACGGTCTTTTATCATTCATTTATTTCAGGGAAAAGTACCCCCCTCCCCCTTTCCCCTCTCCTAGAATAAGTAAAGCAGTACATTAAATCAAGCAGCCTGCAGCAGACAGCGTAGCAGAGTAAATACGCCCCTAAGTTTGCAGCCAAGTTCATAAATAGGTGCCAGGATCGACAGTGTGATGGTCCTTATCGGAATATGTGTAAAATGTATGTTATTTCCGGGGATTGCAATCATGTACCTTGTTTTTATCGAGTTTTTAATTACTTCAGTTATTCCGTGATCATGGCACTTGCTACAGTGCAGTGCCTTAAAATCGGGAACTTGCTATAAACAAGGTGCATGGTAACAATCCCGTAAATAACATAAATTACTATACTGCTAGTGACCACAAAAATTTAAATCAATATATATGAAAAAAAAATGGTTGCCTGTAAAGTCGGTTTTACGGGCGAAGATTTTACGTGACAACGTCTTTTTCTCGGTAGAATATTTATTGATATGAATATAATTAAATTGCACAATAGGAACAAGGAATTGAATGAAAATAAGAATTGCACAAATTTTAACTATAGAAATATATTTTGTTTACTAAAACATTGTACATGTAAACTTAAACTCATCGTAACGTTACCGAGCGTTACACTTTTTCATAAGTGACTCCCAGCCGCAACCTAATTTAAGACGTTGTCACGTCAAAAAACATTTTTAGAGAGAACCTTTGATTTCTGTCTGATTGACGCTGGTCGGATTTCAATCATAAGTCCGACCCGGGGGCCAATCGCCTAACGGAAATGCTTTGGGACACGCTAACGCTTACGATTTTATATTGTTATTTCTAGCCGCCTGAGATTTCCGAATATCTCACGCTCATTTTTTTTAATATTGTTATTACCAATGCAAAAGAAAAAGAAAGAGCGCGAGGCATTTGAATACCTCAGGCGGTTAGAAATAACAATATAAAATCGTAAGCGTTAGCGTTTTCCAAAGCATTTCCGTTAGGCGATTGGCCCCCCGGTCGTAATTTGCCCATGTCTGATTTATACAATACTGTCAATTATGAATAGAAACTATTGTTTAAATAACTTATTCTTACCCAATGTCTGCTTCCCGTTAAGGTGCTGGCCTTCCATCGCGTAGTCGGAGTACTGTTTCTGTATACACTCGGCTCTCTTCTTGAAGCGGGCTATGGTAGCGTTGTTCCACCACTGGTTCAGGTTTCCGAATCTGGGAGGATAAAAGGTGACGTATTATTATATAGAACCTTTGAAAACCGTGTTGAACGTGAAAGTATTACACGAATCTTTCACCTGTAGCTGGTAGAAATCTGCCAAAACGCAGTTCAATAGGGAAATATTTGTTTGTGGTAATGTTAGGGCACCTATGATGATTTAAAGATATAGATAGTCACACACGCTTCTAAATTTGGCAATACGAAAGTCTGGAAATCGCCCGACTTGCATTCAGTCGAGCACGCTCTCTTTCCGCGGCTAGACTTTGCTACAACGTGTAAATATTGTCACAAACGCTCTCGAAACAGAACCGCGAAAGTGCTAGAGATCGAATGTGCCAGAGCACCGCGGGTCGCGATAGAGGTCGAGTAATGCGGCTCATTCTAAAATGAGCCTTATGCAGTGCGGCGTAAGGGAGAAATTGCAACGACATCTGCACTTGTTTACAAGTTATGCGCGTTACCTGCGTAGGTATAAGTAGGGACTTCGTACTCGCGGGTGCTAGCTAATTCTCAATTTAACAGATACTTTCTAGAATGCATCGATCAGCGTATATTAGCGCGATTGGCGCCGCGCAGAGACAGTTGAGTTTCAACAGCGATTTCGGAGCGAATCCAAAGGCGATCAAAATGCAACAAGTGTTCAAGTGAGATTGTTTAGAGACTTGTATAGTGAAATACAGTGTATAGTGAGGCAGTGGCGGACTAAGCTCGTCAGAGGCCCGGGGCGGCATAGCTGAATGAGGCCCCCCAAATGAAATTTAAATTCTAATTAAATTATTCCGGCTAAATAAACATACATACCTACAATATAGTACATATAGACTAGAAACGTAGGTGCATATTGACCAGAAACTACGGATTATGATTTCTAGGCTAAATTATACGAAGAATTACTTACTTTTTCCAAATACTTAAAAATGCAGTAACTCAACTCTAAACTCATTTACTTTCATTCCGCAACAAAAATCAAAAACACTACATATTACACTTTTTAATGAGGTTAGTTTGAACGGATTTTAAATGAGGCCAATGTTTATTTTTCGACGTAAATATAGTGAATGTTAATAAATGTAGGCGTACAAGAGTGAATTATTTGTACTTCATTCATTCAGGGATTCCTGAGGAAGTACCCGCTACAGAGATGGGAATTCCCCCAGCGTATTGGACACGTTCAGCGAAGTAAAAAGAATATAAGTACCGCGTAAAAAGTCTAGATGGCTGTAGTGTTTTGATCTTGATGAAATTATGTAGGTACTAAGCACATTTTTAAAGTCTAGTTTAGGATTTGATCAGGGGAACGCGGAGGCATTTGGGGCCCTCCAAGATCGGAGGCCCGGGGCGGGCCGCCCCTTCCGCCCCCCTGTTAGTCCGCCACTGTAGTGACGGTTTTGTAATTAACATTGTGTGTTAATTGTGTGAAATGTGTGGTGAATAAACTGGCATATAATTTCGAACCCCATCCCGACACGTAACAATATTTTACGATTTTCCAGACAAAAAGCCCTATGTGTGTTTTTAGATAGTACACAAAATACACGGGAACTATTAGAGATAAAAAAAACGTGTAATTTCATTCGTAAGTACAGTTTAAAAGAAATTAATGTAAAAATAATTTAGTGATTACTTATTTTGACAGTTGCTGACACCGTTGACACATAGAGGCTAAAGAGCGAGATGTAATCTGCTTTATGAATGAGAGTGAAAGAGACTACTTTAAGTGCACTCTATTGGCGGCTGTTGCCAAGGGAAGTTGGGGCGGGGACTACTTGTGCCATTTTAAAATGCAATGATGTTGGCATATCACCTGTCTATATATTGTCACTAGATAGCACACATGAGCGGACCAGCTTAGTCGGTTCGGCAGTATTTGTCGAACAAAAAAGCCGACCCGAAGCAATTACTGCACGTGTTGTACCGAATAATTATCTACATGTGTATAATCGATTTTACCGTCCGGCTATGCCGATTAATACCTGCCCGCTTATGTGTGTAACTACCCTAAGAATGTTAATAGTACATTACGATACGCGTGACCTAAGTTGCCTATTACTGCACGGCGTGAAGTTAGCAAGTTAGTTGCTAAACGCCGTGCAGTAATAGACAACTTAGGCCACAAGTATCGTATACTATTTTATAGCAAGTGTGACATAAACCCGCCCGGACGCGGGCAAGAGGGGGGGTTGTGTATGTATTGCAATCACAAAGAATTGCAATACAGACTGCAAGTCAAACTCTGAAAAGAAAGAATTCCGGTTCAGATTACCATTTTGAAAGTATATTTCAAAAGGAAAAAATCAAATATCAATACAACAAAATAGAATTTCAATGTATCCATGAACGTTTATTCTTTGATTGGCATAACAATATATTAAACAACGGGAATGAGCTTTATTTTTTGTACTCGTATAATTCAAACAAGAATTCCCAACCTATCGCTAATTTGTCATTTGTTTGCTGTGAGTTTTTAAGCTCCAAATGACATTTAAATGTGTTTCTTTTTATTTTTTCTACATGAGTGAAGTTGGTCAATTCATTTACACACCGTGCAGAAATAGGCAACTTAGGTCACGGAAAAGCGTGCGTAAAGTGCGGGTTTAGGTCACACTGTGCTATAAAGATTAATAACGTATTTTTGAAAATAGAGCACTCTATAGCTATGACTCTGAACGCGATATCTCAAATCACAGATGATTTGGGTTTGCTTCTCGGTAGGATAGGGTTAACCGTATATAACATAAGCTAAATATTAATTTCATTTTTTTTATCATTTATTTTAGCGACCTCAATTGCCGGGTGGTTTGTACGCAGGGTTTCAAGGTGTCGCCTACTCGAGAGGTCCCGACTACGAATGCGGGCAGATGTTTGTGTGATGAATACGAGCATTTGTACTCCAGTCATGGATGTTTAATATGTATTTCTATTTAATATACCTATATATAAATCAGTGTATGTATTCTATCCGTTACCCTAGTATCCCATAACACAAGCCTACAGTGCTTTCTCTGGGGCTAGACTGATTGGTGTGAGTGTTGAAAATATTTATTATTTTTATTCAGCGATAAAATTTAATTCATGTTTACTATTACACACAAAAACACGTATATTGGCACAGAGTTCTCCCATCAAGAAATTGGGCAGAGAAGTTAGAAAATATATACCTATTAGGATTATCCAAAGTCTTCGTGTATAGGGTGTTTACCTGTCATATTCCCGCCCTTGGTCGTCGAAGGCGTGGGTCAATTCATGCCCCATGACCACCCCCATGGCGCCGTAGTTGACGCTCTTGGGGTTGTCGCCGTCGTAGAAGGGTAACTGAAGAATGCCAGCAGGGAAGACTATCTGGTTCTTGGTGGGGGTATAGTAAGCGTTGACAGTTGAGGGGGTCATACCTGACGAACAGAAATAGTTATTTATGATATATTAGCTTAGATTAAAACAAAAAGGGAAAATACGGTACGCTCATACTAGCATCACATAAAATATGCTCCGACTCAACTACATAAGCAACTCTCACGCACGCTTCTGTAAATAAACATTCAATCGAGCGAGCGAGACAGAACTGTACGCTTCAACGCAGCGCGAGCGAAACGGCGAGTCCGCGTCGCTTGGCTTAGCGACTGCATTTTCTTTTCTCTCTCTTTACAAACGGCTGAGCTGCATTGTTGTCCTTTTCTTGATTTTTGAGAAAATATTTTCAGGTTTTCGAATGAAAAGTGTTGGCGTGAAATTTGTTATTTAATATTGGATTATTTGTGTTTGTGTTGTAATAGCATCGAAGGCACTGTTTTATCTTTATAACACAGAATATGTGCAATATTGATATATTGGTGCACATGCAGCGTATTTGAATGTTTAATTGTGACTAAAGCGAATTGTGGTCATGCACCACAATTTAAGCGGGTCACTTTTGAGTACCGTAAGTTGGTTAATACAAACAAGTAGACGAATGTAAGTCTGTCTTACCATAGTTACGAGTTTGTAAATACCTATTCAGCACGAATGTCATACAACGTTTTTCAACACATTTGCGAAAAAAATATATCCTTTACCTAATTTAAGTAATGAAGCAAACTTTTTCTAACAGGTAAATGGCGCGCATTTCCTAATGGCGCCACGTGCAGATAGTGCAAATTAAAACTAAATCTCTCGTCTCAAAGGTATAGATGAAAAGTGCTTTTAAGGTGATTTGTCCGAAATTGAAAAAAACCGAAAAAGATACGCACGGGCGGCGCCATGTATGGCAGCGTGCGGTAAAATGTTTTACCGCACGCTCCGTTGTATGGCCCGTAATTTTTGACACTTACGAACAATGTACACAACAAAGGTCTATATGTTCCTTAAATTCTAACAGATATACAGCATCATGATAAGTTAATAAACTGAATACTTATGTTAGTAAACACTTCATCATCATCATCATAATCATCAGCCTATTAATGTCCCCACTGCTGGGGCACAGGCCTTCCCTATGGATGGAATAGGGAGATAGGGCCGTGACCCACCACGCGGGCCCAGTGCGGATTGGTGGGTGCTAACGACTGCAGATGCAGCCGGGACCAACGGCTTAACGTGCCTTCCGAAGCACGGAGGAGCTCGAGATAGTAAATTTTTGGTTACCCATCCAGTGACCGCCCACTGCGAAAGTTGCTTAACTTCAACGATCGCAGCCGAACGCGCTAACCACTTGCGCCATCGAGCTCCTCAGTAAACAGTTATTATGCACTAACTATACCCTGCGCTTTTACCCGCGTTCATTTTAGGAAAAAGGTTAAAGTATGTTAATCTTAAGAGCTAGGTATAGGTAACAGTAACGTCTCGGACTTTTTAAAGATCCAAATCCAAATCCAAATAAACAAACTACATAATCTCTTATCTATTAGACAAGTCCGTCTGTCTGTGGTGCTGTTTCAGCGGCCAAACCGTAAGATAAAGATATAGATAAAGAGAATATTTAAGTTATAAGTTAAGAATAGTCTGATAAGACTACAAACCGGATTTGAGTAACGTAGCACTTCCGGTTATCGAGAAATCAGGTTTTGGTGAACATTTGGTTCACTGGTTTGCTAGTTTTATTATATTAGTATAGCAAGTATATATTAGTAAAGATGTTTAAGATATAACAGAGGTAAGGCAAAGAAAAGAAGGAAAAGAAAACATTGTATTGCCCTTCACAACAGGAAATCAATAAAAATAAAACGGTATATAAAATAAAACAAAAAAAAAAATAATAACACATGAAAACTAAGTAGTAATACGTAACGACAACTAAAAATCAGTACACATTTGACAATGACATTTCGGACTCGCAAACGATACGAATTTGATATTGGTTCGTGCTAGAGGTACTGGTCGCTGACTCAGCTGTGAATTGGAGCGCCCGTCTGGGGAAGTAACCTCCACCTTACAGAAGACACATTAAAATAACACTACCTTTTGGTAGTGTTGTGTTTCTGTTGATGAGTAAGATTCCAGGGTTCCACGGTATAGAAGATTGGGTCAGGGTAGGCAGGGTACGGCGCGATACTTTTATTTATTTGCCGGGGGTAACGTGGAGAGTCACCAGGGGGCCGTTCGCCTAACGGAAATGCTTTGGAAAACGCTATCGCTTACGATTTCATTTTGTTATTTCTAGCTGCCTGAGGTTTTCAAATGCCTCGCGCTCTTTTGTTTTCTTTTGCATTGGTAATAACAATATTAAAAAAATGAGCGTGAGGTATTTGAAAACCAATGGCGGTCAGAAATAACAAAATAAAATCGAAAGCGTTAGCGTTTACCTAAGCATTTCCGTTAGGCGAATGGCACCCAGGATCCCACGAAACCCTTTCCGGCAGGCGAGGAAGCACCGTTGGGTTTTTAGTGGGTAGCCCCCCCTCGTCCCGAGCAGCCGCTGAGCCATTTCGGGATTTGGGGGGAGGAGGAGTCCCACATAACCCCACCTCTCACCCAGGAGACGGGTATGCGTCAAGCATTTTCCCAACAATAAAAAAAAAGTGATACTTTTATAATCGCAAGCGTCTATACGCTATCGAGCCGCTTACCATCAGGCGGGCCTTAAGCTAGTCTAATATATAAAACTAGCAAACCAGTGAACCAAATGTTCACCAAACCTGATTTAAAAAAATGGGTGCGTGTACTTATGTAGGCGCGTGAGAAGTTATCCTTCTTTGGCATCGTTTAAAATTAGTTTTTAATTGCATGCAAATAATTAATTACCATAAATTAATAAAAAGTCTGGAAAAGGAATAAGTCAATAAAGTTCAGTTTTAATTTGAAAAAATAAATAAATAATCAAAATATTCAATTAAAATCGCTACTCAATATAATTTATTAGAACATATGTGATTTCTAAGTCAACAAACTCAAACACGTATTCCGAATATACAAACTAGAAACATGTGGATAAATATTGTAAATATGAATACCTATAACTGCTACTTTATTACAAAAAATAAAGATGTGGTTTTTGGTTCTACTACACCAATGGTCAAGAGATGGCGCTGTAGTCTCCTGAATCGCGCTTTGGTTCCGTTGTTCCAGATTAATAAATACTTTTTGTTACTTTATTACAAAAAATAAAGATGTGGTTTTTGGTTCTACTACACCAATGGTCAAGAGATGGCGCTGTAGTCTCCTGAATCGCGCTTTGGTTCTGTTGTTCCAGATTAATAAATACTTTTGATAGGCCTTCACAATGTAGTCGTTAGCACCCACTAAATAGATTCTATTTCTATTTTGTAGGTAGATTTTCTTAATGTGCGGTAAACACAAAAGTAACGCATGTAACAACGCATTATGTTAAAATTTTGTGTTACAGTGATGCGCGCTTCTTAAAATTTCACTCTCATCATTTTTTCATAACGCGCCTAAAGAAGTATAACTTCATAAATGTATTTAATTAATTGAGAACTTCGGAGATTTTGTGTGGTTTCGTTTGAAATTCGTGATTTCTCGAAAACCGGAAGTGCTACGTTACTCAAATCCGGTTTGTAGTCTTATCAGACTATTCTTAACTTATAACTTAAATATTCACTTTATCTATCTCTCACGGTTTGGCTGCTGAAACAGCACCACAGACAGACGGACGGACGGACTTGTCTAAGAGATTCTCGTGTCGCGGTGTGCGTTATTGAACTACTCCGAAACGGCTCGAGCGATTTTCGTGAAATTTTATATGCATATTCAGTAGGTCTGAGAATCGGATAATATCTATTATTCATGACCCATAACATTTAGGGGGGAATACCCTTAAATTTTCTTTTTTTGGACAGAATTTGGCATCAGCCTTCACTTCAGCAGCGGCCCTGGTTTCCGTGTCCATCCAGTGCAGATGGTCCAGGTTCCGTTTGAACGCGGCTCGGATGTTGTCGATCATGATCCCGGAAAATTTAGGGTTGTATGTAATTTTTTATGATACATCATACAAAAATACATACAACCCTAAATTTTCACCCTTCTACCACCAACCCCTATTTTTTTAGAACTACATGTACGCTTCATTCTTGGAAAACTTGAAAACTTGGTCAAAATTTGGATTCATTATCCCTTACTCACCAATCATATCAGTGATGGCATCAGCCTTCACTTCAGCAGCGGTCCTGGTTTCCGTGTCCATCCAGTCCAGATGGTCCAGGTTCCGTTTGAAAGCGGGTCGGATGTTGTCGATCATAATCCCGGAAAATTTAGGGTTGTATGTATTTTTTTATGATACATCATACAAAAATACATACAACCCTAAATTTTCACCCTTCTACCACCAACCCCTATTTTTTTTATGGCGGTACGAAGTTCGAGAAAATATTTGGCTCACCCCACTTAGTCTTGTTAACGGGCTGGTCGAGTTTCTTCAGGTCGTTAGTGAGGCTGTAGACGTTGAACGCGATGTTGTTCTCGAAGTATTCGTTCGGCTTCACCTCCAGACCCTCGTACTGTTTGTCCAACTCCTCCTTCTGTAAGATGTAGTCGGGGAAACCTGGCGGAGAGATACGAGGCTACTGTTAAGAGCGGACGCGAGCTGAGAGACATTTGAGAAATAGGTATTTGGAAAAATTATTGCTGTAACGCTTTGCTTAATACCATGCGATAGGGACAACAGTAGCTCACGCTGAACATTGCGTAGAAAAATTGCAAAATTCAAAGTTTGGTTCTCGACGATTTCCTGTTCGAAAATTGGATATATTAAAAGAAAGTTTACCCACAGAATAATAAGTAGTTATACTGGGCCTCTATGTTTTGAGTTTTTTGGTAAATGCTTATTGAAACTACACACTAAACGTCTTTAGTGGTGATAAAAAAAATATTTTTGGCATTTTTGAGGGCTTCCAGATTCTTTGGAACACAAGTTATCGAAAAAAAAACATAGGAGCAAAGAATAAGTAAATTATCTTAAGTAAAATCATTTCTTTAGTGATAAAAATCTAGGAGGAATCATTCGTGATCATTTGTATGTAAAAAACCTTACTCACCCCCACTTTAAAATCGTATTTCTTGTTAGGAGACCGAACTACATGTTCGCTTCATTCTTGGAAAACTTGAAAACTTGGTCAAAATTTGGATTCATTATCCCTTACTCACCAATCATATCAGTTATGGCATCAGCCTTCACTTCAGCAGCGGTCCTGGTTTCCGTGTCCATCCAGTCCAGATGGTCCAGGTTCCGTTTGAACGCGGCTCGGATGTTGTCGATCATGATCTCGCCCTGTGTCTTCGCTTCGCCGTGGAATACTTCGCGTACGAACATAGCGCCAACGGCGAAACCTGCATCGATAATAAGAATATTTGTTAATTTAATATCGAGACTGTGATTTTGGGTACTAAATTTTTTTCTATTATTAGTTAAGCAAATCGCTTCACTCCATCACATCTAAAGGTCAGTGGTGGTACACTTTACTGGCCTACACAAATGTTTCCACCCCTTTTGAAGGACCTCTATTGGCAGGAACACGTAAGAGGAATGATTTATATCTGGGGGGCCTCATAATGAGAACCGTTTTAGTCTCAAACGATGAATCATGATCTCGCCATTATCCTTTGCATCATCATAGAAGAAAAACCTAACAAATAAATATCGCGACGACAAAGAAAACAAATAATCGATGGACTGTCAATACAAAGTGTTTAGAACAGCTAAGATGTTGTCCAGAAACCTTGGAGGCAGGTTGCCAGTGTAGTCTTCAAAATTCCCGAAACCGTCATGTCCGTTGATAAGTTTTCTTTTATATACACAGTAAAAATAGTATTATTTATACTTATAAACAACCTGTTTCTAACATCTCACCTATAGCGTTGTTAGTGTCGGTGACGCAATACCGCCAGGACTCCTCCGTCCCCTCGGATCCGAACAGGGCCTTCCTCAGGATCTTGGTGGCGTCCCGGAACGATTTCGACAGGTAAGTCGACAGCGACCGGGACACTTGCCACATCATGTAACTCGTGAGAGTCCTTCAAAATTCAAACAAATGTTTATGATTTAGAAAAGACCTGACCTGTTTGCACTAACAAAAGTCTAAAACACAATATGTTTATAATCTTGAAAAGACCGCGTTTGTACCTTACGGTGGCAGAAATGGTTAAACACGAATCGGAGAATAGAGATACAATAAATGAAGTGCTAAGATTCCGATTAAAAAACATCAAAAACAAAATTATGTTTTCCACATCATACATGACTAAGATACGAAACAATAGGTATAGAAAGGTTAATTTCCAATATTCTGCTACAAAAGAAAGATTAGTCAGATGTGGGATTTGAGGAACCACTTTTTATTACAAATTCCAGTTTTATTTTCTGCTTATTCAGCCGCACCTCTAAGAATGTTTATTTCAAATGTTTGATCAGGTGAATAGGTACTCATTACTTAAAATTAAAAAAAATACGGACTGGATAGAAGGAATGATGTAGATTGGAGAATAGCAGTCCATTAGAACAGCAATAGGACGGTTTATCAACAAAATAAATATGTACATGCCTTTTATCATCTTCAGTCTTGCTATATTTTGCTATTACTTTCGTGAGATTTCTGAAGTAATCTGGAGCGTAAACCACAATTCTTTCAGTGTCTGATATCTGAAAATTTAATTTAAATTTAATTTTTACAACTTTCTTAAAGTATGTATTGTTATAAACTTTCATGGTCACCAACATTATAGCCATTAACGGAATTGTTACCTCGGAATACATATAATATAATATCAAGACTCATAAAAAACAAGGTACATGGTAATAATCCCTTTAAGTAGCTTGCTTAAAGTAAATTCACGAAACTTACACTCCTGTTCACCAACTTAAACGCATCATTGAAGAACAGAGTCCAATTCAAGAAGGGTGCTTCTTTTTGCCATTGTCTTATCGTATAAGGATTATACAAGCCCTCTTCATCCCTCCTATCTTCGGAAGGAGTCGTTATATTCGCCAGCTCTGTCTCGAACTGGATCACTCTACTCATTTGTATCCTGGCTTCAGTTTTGTTAGCACCAAGTAGCATGCATATGCGCGTCATGTAGTCTAAATATGCGTCAAGAACTTTCTTATGTGCTGTTTTATTGAGGTAGTTGTCACGGGTCGGCAAGTTTAACCCACCTTGATCTAACTGGAAAAAGTAAATTTTAGGGTTAATTTTATTGATTTGTACTTTTTAATTAAAAACGATAAACTGCGAAAAATTCAATCCGTTCCGAATCTTATAAAACGCATTATTGTGAACATATTAACATGCTTTTAACAACTAAGCACCAACAGAGACCTAAACCTAACTTAACTAGACTTCTACACAATAATTGATTGATCTCTCTCCCACTTCCTTCTAGTCCTCTCCATCCAAAGGTTGTCTGGAAGAGATCGCTCTAAGCGATAAGGCCGCCCATTGTTACACTGGTTTTAATTGGTTATGTACTAAATTTAATGTTATATGTGGTGTACAATAAAGTGTTTTGTATTGTATTGATTGAATATTAGTGTTATATTTACCAAATGTTTTACAGCTAAGCAACTACACTTACCACAATAACGTGAACAGACGAATTTCTGTCATCTTCTGTCACGGCCCAGTTGAAAAGTCCACCCAAATTGTACCTGGAGATGATTTAAAATTATTATTACCTACTAAACATTGACACTTGATATAACACCAAATGCTTCTAAACAACTTTGTTCTAGTTGGTACCGGGCTGAGCTAGATTTTTTAAATAGAAGGATTTTTAATTTTTTAATTTTAGAATCCTCATTGATCTACTAAAACATCCCACTCGTGACATAGGCGTAAAAATTTTATGTAAGGATAATACCTATACCTATTCTTTTCACATTAGTAAAACAGCTACACTTTAACTTAAAAGATACTCACGTATTCTGAACGTCCTGTAGCAACGTCTGCAGATTCCATCTATGATTCTGCACTGCGGTACTCGGCAGGAGATGCCACCCACCCAGATTCTTGATCACAGATAGCAGAGGTTTCTCGCCTAACTTCTCTATAGTCTCATTCGTGTCTATACATGCATCGTAATAGATGCGGGCCTTTGCTTCTGCGCCACCATCCGTGACATTGACTTTTTCTGAAAAAAAGATAAGGTATATTCGTAACCACAAATTGGTAACGAAGCAGTGTTACCGGTAAAATTGTATAGGGAATAGTATTGCCTATTGTAGTATTCATCGATAGTTTCAACTTAATAAAAATGCTTCAGCATTTTTAGATGATCATTGTAATCTTCATATTATATTAGGATCACAACCTTAGTGTGCAGTTTGTATTACATATACAAAACTACGTGAATTTGCAAACAGCATAAGCTGCCGCAAAAGACAAGGTCTAATTGTTTGTGTATATGTACACGAAAACGATAAACTGAATTTCACAATGGCGGTCTAATTTAATAAAAGACCGCTAACGGATGACTGATTACACAAAAGTGGTACAGTTGGAAATAAAATAAAAATTCTTTTCAGTTTTTCATTTGTAGATTACAGAAAGGCTTTTGATTACGTTGACTTAATTTTTTATAGTTTCTAAGGAATACCATTCGGATAATATAATCTCAAAGTAACATAAACAATATAAGAATATATATTGGTTTCAGACATTTGAAAAAAGAGTTTTTCTGGGATGCGCACTAGTACCCATAGTCACATAAAAATGATAATGGTTAGATTTTGATATGTATAAAATATATGTATGTATATGGAAGTCTCATAAGTACTTTAAATATTCATAAAGTGTAAAAAAATATTCTCCTTTGTAGCTTAATATGAAATTTAAAAAAATGATTGTGAAAAATGATGAATGCATTACACCTCTTCATTTAAAAACTTGTAAAATACAAGTGTTTTTAATAATTTATGCTATCAGCAGTTAAATCATTCTGTTTTTAAAACAAGATTCATTTTTAAATTAAAATAACTTGCACTTGAAAACACAAACTTGAATTCTGACGCATTTTGTGAGTAAACAATGACGTAGATAACCGCGTGTTCTGTAAAACACGTTACACCGTTAAACTATTTGTTTTTTAAACTACATAATATTATAACCTATGAAATAACGCGCGTTTACATGCAAACTGTACATTTCAACAATAGTTACCTATTATATATTTGTAAAAGAGCACGTAAATATATAAAATAAGCACTGCTTTATAAGGCATGATTGCTTACGTTACGTAGCAGGTTTGTTTAGTCAAGATTTTCGTTGAACGTTAATTTTTGCAAAGTTATTCGATAAAAGCCTGAAACTCTGTGTAAAGGTGTTAAGTGTCAGTTCACAACACTGTGGAGAGTATTTAATTTTAATATTATTCAATAGGAATTTTTCTAGTACATGATGACGTATTCTTCAATTATATTAAAAAAAGTAACTTGTAATAGTGTACCTAAACTATTCTGTGTTAGCCCCGTATGTGTCTTTAATAGTAGTGTATCACATTTATCACACCCACACTACATGCGGGCGACGCGCCTAGATAGCGCCTACTCTGTACAGAATCTTTACCAAGTGAATATAATTAAATGAGAACTTCCTCATTGTTTAGTTTCAGTACAGAATCTTTACCGAGCGGATTCGCAGGTCTCTGTTCCGAGTTTTTCCAATTGCTATGGAACCATTCGACTCGCCCGTCCCGTCACTCCCGCAAACAAAACCATAGCAAAGAAAACGAAACGATACCACACCGAAACCCAGCTAACTATGATAGTTTTCGTGAGCTCGCACTTGTAGTAAGGGTACTGATTCTATTGTTTTCGTTTTAATTCAAATAAACAGTGTTAAAATTCTATCATTAAATCATTTGCGTCTTCTTAAATTTTAAGTAAATTTGGTTACTTTTCACCAAAATGAACATAGAAACATAATTTACAATTACGAAAACTATGATAGTTTTCGTGAGCATAAACTCGTACTAAGGGTACTGTACAGAGTCGGTACAGAAACGTAAACGAAACGAGCCCGCACCGACCCGGTGAGGAAGCACCTTCGAGGCAAGCTAAAAATTAGGCAAGTCACCTACCTAGGCGCGCGCGTCGCCCGCTTGTAGTGTGGCTGTGATCAGTACACTACTTTTAAAGACACATATAAAGACCCAGCGAGTGGGTCTTTTTACTTTTTTTTAATTTTGTATATGACTTTTTATTGGGTTTTTTATGCCTGGAATAAACAATTATTATTATTATTATTATTATTATAATGCGATTCAAATAAGAATAGGAAAGCCGGTTTGCAATAAAAACCAAACATTTGTAAACAAACAATAACAAATATTGATAATTAATATGGGTTTATATATTTTTTTTCACTTATTGAGCTTTGGTCATGAATGGTCGATAACCTAAATCGTCAACCAAATGTCACTTTAAGTTGCATTCAGAAACTCGATTTCAAACTTTCATTTACATAAAGGATGCATGTTCATATGTGACCTAGTAATAGTGCATGATTATTCATAACTACTCCGGTGGTAATGCAGAGATGAGCGGAATAGAAGAGCTAGATTCTGATTATTGTTTTTCATTTTATTATTAAAGATCGGTGGTTTTTTTTCTCAATTTTAGTGAATATATGATATTAAAAAAATGATGCTTTCTCACTTAATCTTAGTAAATAAGTTTTATTAAATAAAAACTTTTATTGCATACTCTACCTATTTGGTTTGAATTGACAGCTATGACATCACAATATGGCGTCCAGTCGGTCCTATTCTTAGTTGAATCGCATTACGGAGCTAACATAGTAATAAATTTATTTCAATGGAGTTTTTAGTTTGTACTACGTGAATGAATAAAGTAACAATTATTTTAGGAGCAATCTTTAAACTACTTTTATATTTCTGTCTGTTTACTCTAACTACGATTACTCACTAACGGCCACTTTTAATAATTACTCTCCGTTACTATCAGCCAATTAAACTTGATTGTTTATTGAGAAATGTAGTAAATTACTCAAAGCTACAGCTGAAGCAATCCAGAACATTTGAAGACGGCATAAACCTTTGAATGATCGGTCGCGAACACATTTTTTTTCTGCAGTCGCGAAAATATCAATGACATTCTCAAATGGCGAATCGCGAATATATCAATTAGTCTTTGTCAAGTCTTCATCGGCATTGAGAATATTTTCCATACTATTATTGCACGCTTCTGTGCTCAAACATCAGAGGAAAATATCGATTATTCGTTGACGTAGTTCAAGGGCGCTCGGCCGTAGGACAATTGACCGCCCCATTAAATTAACTACTAAGGCTTTACGCGCAATATAACCACTTTGCTGTACAATCGAGAATATCGAGACAATCGAGATCATTAAAGTCGAGTTCAACCTTTTTATAGAACTTTTGTAGACTCGCCATGTCCGTTCTACCGTCTCTGACCGACTCTGCTCGTACATTTTTTTTTTAAATGCGCAAGGTGGTATTTATAAGGTCCTCGTCCTTGAGTCGGTTTCCTCATTCCTGAGGATCGTGGTCATCTTTTCTTTGGTGATGCAACGCCAGCTGTTTCTGTCTGCCAGCTGCCACCGAATGTTTTGCATTTGGTCAGTCCAGTGAGTGGGCACAGATTAGTTTTTATTTAATTTTTGATATGAACTGAAAATGTAGTTTTTCAAATATACTTATTGAAAGCTCTATTGAATCGTCCAATATTTTTCCTACCTGGACATTTTATAGCTGATGAGAAGAATGGGCGTATAGCATTAACAGAAGTAGCAACATTTACATACATAAAATCATGTCGCACCATCATCACCTTAAATTCATTTAATATCCTATTTCTTTGCTTCTCTTATATTTATATAAGTATAGCTCCTGTATCTACTTTTGCACCCTTCTATATTTCTCTATTATTATTCCTTTTCTACCATAGGTTTCCTGGAAGAGATTGCTGTTTAGCAATAAGGCCGCCTATTGTACTCTTGTTTTATTTGTTTATGTCTTGTGTCCTTTGTTGTGTGCAATAAAGAATATTTATTATTATTATATATTTATTAAATTTTACATCATACAATCAGCTTATAACCATGGGTCCTACATAGGAGGTCCTGTATCGTGGGCACCCAATGAATGTAAATAAGATTGCGACAGATGAAATAGTAAAATTACAAAATACAAGGTATATCCGAGGCGATGGTGCTTGGTTTTCTCGAAACTTCTAATCTTACAGTAAACAATCAACGAGCGGGCGACCCCTTAATTTGGAAATGTTACTAAGTGTGTTTACCACGGTCCAATTATGCCGTTAAGAATTTAATCTCACTTCGTGTCAATCAAATCGGATTAGTTAGCTTTGGTTTAGCTGTTGCTTCGGAACGAAAGTTTTCTCTAACACCTAACTAATATACTTATCCTATATGTTTGGATGTTTGTTATTAAAATTACTCAAAGAACTGAACGGATTACACACACACTCACAATGATAGGTTTATTAGATTGTGAGATTCACATAATAACTAACTACCTCTAGGACTTAGGCCCAAATGTACCAAAAAATTTTTGATTATGCATTGATTAAGCCGCATTCCCTCTCATTTGAATTCAAAAAGCTGACCGGGATGAAATGATGTGTTAAACAGCATTAACAGATTAATGAATATCGGTGCAAATAACCCTAACGTATAGGTAACGGCTAAATTTCTTAAAAATATATCCCAAATAAAGAGTCTTCCCACGAGATTCTTTACATTGTAATAATGTCCACGCGAAGAAATCACTTACCGAGAGCATACCGAATTATGAGCTGATTCTGGAGCTCTATCTTGCTGAAGATACCCCAGGTAGACTTCCCCTCGGGAATGGGGTTGTTCCTGATCCAGCCTCCGCAGGCAAACTCGTAGAAGTCTTCGCATGGGTCCTGGCTGGTATCCAGAGCTCTTATCACCTCGCTCGCGGTGTATATGCAGGAACTTGACAGACACACGCTTGATTCTGGAATAGCAAATACGCAATATAAAGGGAGACACTTTTGAAGAAAAAGAATATGTCCAATCTTAGGTATTATTGTCACTTACATTTTCTTATTTATGTTATGGGGTTTAATATACTAACTCGTTCAAATACAAAGTAATCGGACCAGCGGGGACTGGTAGAGAAAAAAGTTGAACTATAAACGACTTAACGAAATCATTAATTAGACGTAATTTCATCATCATGAGCCTGTTAATGTGACACAGACCCCAGTCATGTCCCAAACCTGTATACCTGATAGGGTATCCCACCTGTCTTTCCTACAGATGGAAATAGGGAGATTGGGAAATGAACCACCACCGGACCCATTGGCAGGTGCTGACTTCTGCAGATGCACACGGGGCCAACGTTCCTTCCATGGATATTGAAAAAAAAGTTACTTTTATTTCTAATCGTTTGCTCTTTAACCAATTAATAGAAAATTCTTGAAGATTCATTCAAACTTTCATCCCGCTATTTTAACACTTAGTGAGTGAATTTTGGAAAATCCTTTCTTAGCAGATATCTATGTTATAATACTATACGCGTGTCAACATTTAATTTGTCAATCAGACAGATCCGCAATCGTATCGCATCGCCAAAGTTTCTATGGAAAAAGTCATTTTATTCTCGGTCCAAGTTCATGCTTGGGGTACAGTTAGCGATGCACCGCGTCGTGGCCAGCAAGATACCCACAAAGAAGATGGCTTTCGTGACCAACAGCACGCGTTCCAGCTACGTGCGCTGATGCCACAGTAATACATATTTACCACCCTTTTATGAAGTAGACCCCAGTAAGCGTAACTCCGCATAGTATTCCAGTTTCAGTTGTGACATATTTCTGTTCTTTGGACTGAATACACGTAAGTCTGTTCTTTGGACTGAATACAACTAGTATAAGGTTGTTCAATATCACCCCACGTCGGCTATACAACTTACAGGAAAAACTCTGTATAAACAGACAAAATTGCAAGCCAGACGAGGCCACTAACGGTAAGGCTAGTCCACAAAATTATGGTCGCTCAGAGAGCTATGGAAAGAGCTATGCTGGGAATTTCTCTGAAGGAACGGATCCGGAAGGAAGTGATTCGTCAAAGAACTAAAGTCACTGATATAGCTCATCGAGTAAGCCTGCTGAAGTGGCAGTGGACTGGTCATGTATACCGTAGAACATAATGACCGTTCTGAGCCGAGTTCTGGAGTCTACACCGCATTATGGCAAACGTAGTGAGGAGCGTCCCGCGACAAGATGTAGTGACGATATCCGAAAAGCAGCGGGCAATGACTGAATGAGGAGAGCTGAAGACCGAACTCATTGGCGTGCCATGGGAGTGGCCTATGTCCAGCAGTAGACGAGTAAGCCACCTGAAGTGGCATTCGGCGAGTCATATATGCCGTATAACAGATGGCCGTATAGAGCGAGGCGAGCTCTGGAGTGGAGATCGCAAATCGGAAAACGTAGTGTGGGGTGTCCTGTGACTAGATGGCGCGACGATACCCGGAAAGTAGCGGGCTGGATGAGGACAGCTGAAGAACGAGCTCGGTTTACATTAGTCCACCTAAAGTAAAGTTCGCTCAGCGAGCTATGGAAAGAGCTATGCTGGCAATTGAAACAATGGCTGTTAGGGTGAGCCGAGGCATTATTGCAAACATACTGTGAGGTTTTTTGGGGCGACTCGATGAAGCGACGATATCCAAAAAGGCGCGGGCAATGACTGGATGAGGAACGCTGAAGACCGAACTTATTTGCGTGCCATCCACTGCGCACTGCTGATGATGGTGAGATGTTACAGATAAAATAAGCTATAACCTTAATTCACCGTTGCTTACCTTTGGGCTCCGGTTGGTAGCAAGGTGGTACCGGTAGATACCCAGTCCCTCTAGTAGCGACGAACAGCGTTGCAGTCAGCAAGATGCCCACGAAGAAGATGGCTGTCGTGACCAGCAGGACTCGTTCCAGTTTCGTGCGCTGATGCCATCCGATGAACGATACGCCCTGAAAAAACTTCATCATTATACATTCGCATTTTCACCCACAGGGTGCACTGAATCAACCGATCATTGATGGCCATATCCACGATGGCTCTAGTGAGGCTTCGTCTTCTCATTAGATCTGATTTCAAGATATACGGAGACAGAGTAAAGATCTTATAAGAAAAATATACTCACTAGACCCAATAATGAATCTGGCTCTCTGAGATTGATCGAAAAAAACGGGACAGCTGATTAAATGGGAATTTTTTCCCCTTTTGACATTAGTATAAAAGGGTTTGTAAAAATATACCCCTTGCAATTCTTGCCACGGTATCGAAGCTTTAGAGGAGAGTGGAATTATAAAGTTTCTGGTCACCCATCCGAAACTATTTCGAAATTTGGGTTCCACAATCACAACGCCGCGCGCCGCCGCGCCGTCAAAGTTTTCAATTTCATGTAAAACACTTACTCGTAGGTATACACACGTTAAATTACAACAACTTTTTTATGTTCAATGCTTTTGATTGATTTATTCTTATTATTTATTAAAACACGCTTAAACGATTTACCAAAAGTAAGCACCAGCTTACAAGCACAAGTGATTAATCGTCTCTAAGCACGAAGAACCGTAGCTAATTCGGTCAATTATTTATGAAAAAGGCTAACACGTATGGAGGGGGTTGCTTTGCATAGGTACCACAATAATTCGGATCTTTAACGCAAATCTGTAAAATAAACCCTGACTTCCGAATTCGATAGCGTTTTTTTTATGCATAATAGGCAATGCGTTTGACCACAATCTCGCCTGATGGAGAGCGATGATGAGGCCTAGGATGGTACACGCCTGCCTAGAAGATGCCTGTTCACTCTGGCCTTGAATATGATTATTGGTCCGGGAAAATAGCTGTCAATTTAGACAGTAGTTTGATATGCATTACGCCATTATACGACAAAATGTAGCAATGATTTTAGAAGCAGCCGGTAAAAGATATTTGACAATTTTCAAAAATACGAACAAATGAGATCGTAAGTGAGATTGTATCATACAGAATCGACACGCTGCTGTACCGAATGAATGACCGAACAAGCAGAAAACGCTGAAAACACACAGCTGAAAACCCTTAATTTTTTAACTTCTTTTTATCAAATTACTTTTGATAGAGGAACAATGAAATCAGGCAAAGCATAAGTACGTACTTTCAATGCCCTTTGATACGAAAAGCTTTATATCATATTCTAAAGAATTAACTAAAAAAGCGAAAAAAATATAACAGGATACTAAAGGTCGTAGCAGGCATATTTAGTCGGTAAGGAATCGCCACCTTCAACTCGAGTCGTTCAGTAATTCTTTGTATGAAACTAACTCCCTTCTGCAACGCACACTAATCGAAATCGTAACGTAATCGCCTCACAAAGAAACACGAGCTTGTACCGAGGTCGAGGAGATATGTCTACTACGACCTTATAAGTATGTAGGTAGTGTCCGCTGCGTAGAACACCCCTTTAAGTAGCACAGGAAACCAATCTCCGTCTTTTCTTTAGTAAGAATCTTAAGATTCTTACATCTAAAGGACGTTTACACGTAAGAACATAATTTGTAGTAGCTAGCTTTAAAATCTGCCTTATTAAATTAACTTTAAAAAGTATAATCTGTGTACACATTGCCTTTTCCCTCATTTCTAAATTTCTTTATTCAAATTGGAAGTAAAAAACATCTCTTTTTAATAGCAAGTATTTTCCTCTCCATTCGTTAAGGACATTTATACAGTCATAATATATAGCTGTGGAGAAAAATAGGCGAAAAAATACACAACGTCAAATTATGTAACTATATTTATAATATTTGTTTCTTAGGTTTTCACGCACATCACTCATTAAATAAAACTAGTATTTTACGGGTTAATGCACGAAACTTTATTTATTTATTGACGTTTCGTAGCCTGTACAGGCTACGTTGTCAGAATCAAATTTTATTTAATTTTGTCGAGCTACCTTCGAAAGCCTTTTATTGAGCGTTCGGTTATTTCGGTTGTAACCTTATGATATTATATTATCCTTTGTAAGATAGTTGTTATTAGATTCAACTTGAACTGTTTTAAAATATTTGTTTTAGTTCATTGGGAATCGAATGTAGCTGCATAAGTTTAAACACACGCGGACAGTTTTTAGCTTTGATTTTGTATGCAACCCGTTATCTATAGAATTTTTGATCGAAAGGTTAAAGTAAAATAACATGGATGAAGGTAATTGTGGCCACAATTCCAACGCGTACAAAGAAATTTGCTGACTCATTTCTTTGTCGCACTATCCGTAAATGGCATGCTCTGCCCGCTCACGTGTTCTTTCCTTCTCATAACCTGGGATCCTTCAAAAGAGACGTGAAGTAGCAACATGCAGACCGGCAAGGAGAGGATAGCTGGTGTGGCAGGTAGAACTGCTGTACCAGCTATCTTCACGTCTGGACTTCACCGTCACTTAACATCAGTTGGGGTGGAGTTATATGGCGAACCAATCTATAAAAAAAATGACTACTAACCTATATTTGCTACAGCTCTTAAATTCCCAAGGGCTCATGAAAAGGGCTTCAGTCGAGTATACATTAATTAAGAGCTCTCCATATTTGCTAAATTGCGAAAATCTTTAAGAGGCATTAAAATCTGCTAAAATTCTTCAGAAATCCTCGCACCCAGTGTACTTTTAACATTTTGGTATGAAAGAAATATGTTGAAAGGTTTTATAGAATCGTAATTTAAGAGTTGTGGAAATAAGAACCAGTACCCCTAGCACGTACCAATATCGAATTCGTATCGTTTGCGAGTCCGAAATGTTATTGTCAAATGTGTACTGATTTTTAGTTCTCGTCACGTACTTTGTGCCGCTGCTGTTCATGTTTCCATACAAAATTTGACAATGACATTTCGCACTCGCAAACTATCCGAATTCGATATTAGTTCTTGCTAAGGATATAGAGCCCATGTACGAATTTTGACAGTTCCGTAATGGTATTGTCAACTTCAAAAGCTAGCTAGCTAGTTTAAAAAGCTGCTTAGTTTTCGGAGCTGTCAAAATTCGTGCTTGTACCTCTGTATCACAGCTATTCGTGAATAATACTGAAAGTTAATCTTCCAAATTGTTTTTGTGTTGATGTTTTTAACTAATATTTTTATTTGACTTTTAAACTGCAAAATACATATATGTATACTTATGTTAAGGATTTTTTTTGGATAAATTTCTTTATAATTAAGTTTTTAAAGTGAAGCTTTTTATTGCATTGCCACATTTTTTTTGTCTCTTTGCATTTTTATTGTTATTAATAAATGCAGATGTCATCAACAAGCATCGGTGGTTCAGTGGTAGGAAGCTCGCCTCCCAAACGGGCGACGTTGGTTCGATTCCCAGTCGAAGAAGGACTATTATTCTTTGCACTTTTTAGCCGAAGTCTCTTATTTCGGTTAAATCCCAAAGATCCGAAAAGTTTTGATTCGATGTAAAACACTCACCCCCTTATTTTTAACGAGGATTAAGCTAAGACTAGTTACACCGTGTTTTGTTCATGTCACTCTAGTGCCATTTGTATTTCAATGAACAGAGACAAAACATAGAGTAACTAATCCAATCTTATTCTTCGTTTATTAATAAAGGGCTAAGAGTTTGACCGTTTCACTTGCACCGTGGTTTTATTAGACCACGGCATTTTTTTAATACTTACAGAAGCAAGAGGACGGTATCGACTCAAACTTGGACAGTTTTTATTGTAAGTACCTATGAATAAAACAAATAAATATTTCCAACACTCACACCAATTAGCCTAGCCCCAAAGTAAGCACTGTAGGCTTGTGTTATGGGATACTAGGGTAACGGATACAATACATGTACTGATACATATATAAGTATACTTATATAGAAATACATATTAAACATCCATGACTGGAGTACAAATGCTCGTATTCATCACACAAACATCTGCCCCCACCGGGATTCGAACACGGGACCTCTCGAATAGGCGACACCTTGAAACCTGGTACAAACCACTCGACCACGCAGGTCGTCAAATGAATGAATAATTCCAAGTACCTAAATGATAAGTATATGTTTGCTAATTATAAATTTATAGATAAATAATCACTTATATCTTATTAGGTTATCAAAAAATCTTCTCAGACTAAACATCACGTTTTAAATAGATGTAGGGCACACATGCTTGTGCGTGTCAGTATTTTATTAAAGTAGGTATTGTGGGTATATAAACATAAAGATTATCATTGTTTATAAACTATTGACTTCACGACTTTTGCTTTAAATTTTACTTGATAATGTAAAATGTAGGAATTCCGCGGCTATGAAAATCACACTTATTATTTCGTCTATTTGCCGAAATACTAACGTTTCGAATTCGAATTGCCGGTAATAAAGCCTACTTATATTTACTAATTTATTTATCAGCAAGCTTATCAATCACATAATCTGAACTGCGAAATCGTTCATGGCATTCAGTCTGCGATCGTGGAAGTTAAGCAACTTTCGCAATGGTCGGTCATCGGATTCGTGACCGAAAATTCGCTTTACAGAACTCCTCCCTGCACTTTTCTTATGCAGTTGGTCGCGGCTGGATCTGCAGTCGATAGGCGAACCCAATCCGCACCAAGTCTGCGTGATGGATAGGACATAGTGCAATCATTATTTCATCCTTCCACAAGGAAGGTGTCTGCCCCAAAATTGAGGACATTAACACGTTCAATGCATTTACTAAAAGATACTTAAGAGCCCTTACAAAATTGCGCCGCTGCCGTACTGATCGACGCGTAGGTAGATTTGCACTAGTATATATTGCATTTCACGGGTGATGTTTCGAATCTTATAAAATAATTATTAATGAACTAATTATAAAAAATATATTCATATTTCAGTAGTTCAATAATAGTAATTATATTTAATTCAATATCAAAATACGAGGTAAACCTGCATTATTTTTGGGAAAACTCACGGAAGTTAGATGTTTTTTTTTTTGATAATTAATGAGAT